GGCTCCCGCCATGTTCTGGGCTGTCACCACTGAAAACGCAACAAGGGAGTGAGTGGATCATGCTGTTGCTTCAACTACTGCAGGGTCTGCTCAAACCGAACGTGGTTAACGGTTAATAAAAAAAACAGGGTCGTTAAACCAAAAGAAAATTAAAATCCCAAATTCTTCCCCAACATTTGAGCAACCTCTCGAAACTAACAAAAATATCCTACAATTCAGCAAAAATCATTTTAAGAAGACTCTATGTCGTTAACAACTGTAAGTTTGATTGCCTGCTTTTGGAATCTTGGGTTGAAATGAGACATCAAGTACAGAAAGAAAAAAAAAGACGCTAAGGTCACCAGTAAGTTTCCTAAGCACAAATACACTATTAATGTTTAACTCCTCTATCAACACAATTTAAATAACAAGTTGGGCTTCTTTATGACTCTCCACGTGGGAAACAACACACTAGCAGATACTCAATATTTTGTGTGTAATGGTGAAGAGCCTTAAAACTACACTGCTTACACTACTAAAAAATTTAGATAATGGTTTAACACATTACATCCTAAGTCTACAAGTCCACCAAAAAAATAAGATCACTTCCTGGACAGGCTAATGAACTGACTCAAGACGATTCACGTCCACTACGTCAAACCAGCTAGGCCTAACCTATTTTTAGACCAGTGTGTTATGATTACGAGAACAACAGACAGCACAGGCAATTCATTAATTTATTTACATTTTCAGTATTGTTTCTGGTGTGTAGATCTCTAGAGACGTGAGTATAGATTCTAGTCTAGACAAAACTTTTTTTTTTTAAATTACGTTGACACTAGAGTTTATCCCTGGCATACATTTTAACTCTCATACAAGCCAGGTGACCTAGGTATAGCGTGAAGGCTAGGCCTAACCTATTTTTAGCTCTCTCGAGAAAGAAATAATCTAGGTCAAGCGCTTTAATTCCATTTTTTGTTTGTTTTTCAGTACAAATCTACTACTGTTCAGCATTATATTACAAAATATAACTATATTGAGAATGTAAAGAGCAGCAGCAATGAGGAAGCAAAAATATATAGATGCAAATTTCCTTCCAAAAAGAGTCGAATCGAGGCTTTACTACTAGTCACCTGTACAGCTGACAAAAAAACATGCAAGCAGAAAAATCGCGTTGTCAGGCAAACGAAGTCAGTGACTGACAAAAACGAGCTCATTTGCATCTAAGAGCCTGGCCTGCAACTGACGAAAAATGCCAGTGGACTTTCCCCGTAAGGGTCTGAACGGGAAGTCTTTTCCCAAATCCTAAGCAAGGGGAAGGAACCCACCTCCCGTGAATGCAAGCATTAAAAAACATTTTAAAAATACTGTAATAACTCCAA